AACAGGATGATGTACAAGTCTCAAATTTCCTTTTGGTTTTCAAATGAATCATCCTTTTGAGGCTTAGACTACGTGATACACATGGAAAGTTATATGTACAAGAATCTCCTCACTTAATGCTTGCTTAACACAATGTATCTTGGTTAATATGTCCAGGCAGGATATGACTCAAAAGTCATCATGAAGAATGTTATTTCTGATGCTGTTTTAACACATAATAGGAAACTAATCTGAAAAGACAGATGCATTTAGTCTGACTTAAATATTAGGCAATTATTTAAAAATAACGATATTCTATTAATATGTAGAACTTGTATATTTTATGTATCAGTTAAACTAAAAAAGGAAAAAGAAAATTTAGCCGTGTAGCTTTCAAAGTGAATTTCATTGTATTTATTTTCTAAAAATGTGTTGAAATTCATAATTTTGATTAAACAAGTTTGTGGCATTTTATTTTTGAAAGCATAGTAATGAAGACCATTTTCCTCACATTTATATATAAAATTTGACTGAGAAATATTTAGTAATAGTATATAATTATTTCATCATGACATATTATTTAACAGAGACATCTTTTCAAATTAGAGAGTACTGGACTTGACATATATAGTACACTTAAAAATAAAACTTCAGTTTCTAAATATTAAAGATTAATTTATAAAACAGTGACTGATTTGTGCTTTAGTTTCTAGGAATAGTTCATAGCCCAAATGTTCTTTAAAAACACAATTTACTAATTCTGATCATATTAGCTGGCACAATTTGATGTGTCTTTAAGAAGCACTTAGGGGATGCATAATCATATTCAGAATTAACATAGGCTTGGTGAGATAGCTCACCAGGTAAAGGCACTTGCCACTAAACATGACAACCTGAGTTTGAGCACAAGGAAAGGACTCCGGAATTTGTCCTTTGACCTCTACACATGTGCTATGGTATGTGACAACAAACTAAATAAAAAAGTAAATAAATAAATACATGAATGTAACAAAAAATAAAGAAATTAGGGTGCTGGAGAGGTGACTTAGGGGTTAAGAGCACCGGCTGCTCTTGCAGAGGACTCTGGTTCAGTTGCCCGCACCCACACGGCAATGAGCAACTGTCAATAACTCCAGTTCCAGGGAATCAGTAGTCCTCTTCTGGTCTCTGTGGGCATTGCACGCACATGGTACACTTCCATACATGTAAGCAAAACACTCATACACAAAAAATAAAATTATAAAAAATAAAAGTTTAAAACGTAAAGAAATTACACTGAAGTCTCAGATCCAAACAAATCATTTTTCCAAACAGGTATTTTTCACTATTAATGACTGAGTTATTTTCATTAACAAGCAAAATCAATACTTGTGATCACAGATTTTTTCTGTATTCATAATTCTAATTGATATCTTCATCTGGATAGTTGAAAGATCTTTATAATATATAGTTTCATTTTGCCATGCAGCAAAGATAAGCCATTTTAACCACTAGAGAAGTAAAAAGGAGAGAGAGAAAACAATAACCACAGTCTGTAAGCGACCAATTTGGTAACGATCTAATTTGTCCTCAAAACTAATGGAAGGTTTTCATCTCTCAAGGTCTCTCGGCCAGTGACTAGTTTGCTCTTTGAAATCACTCTTTAGTTAGGACAGAGTTAAAATTTCTTTTTGTGTAGATTTGTCATAGTTTTGCATATCTGTTATCCATAGTTTGGTTTTATTGAATATGATTTGATTGTATCTTATAATTTTGTCATGATTTTGTTTCTACATTATTATATAAAGGAGTATTAATCTTTAAGAGTTAGTTTCCTATTAGAATCCATTGAGATTTGCATCTTGAGTCTATGGCCATACCACCCTGAACAGCCTGATCTAGGAAGCTAAGCAGGGTTAGGCCTGGTTAGTACTTGGGTGGGAGATTTGCATCTGAGATGAAAGCTCATATACTTTTAATGTATTTTTATTTTATGTGAATGAGTGTATTGCCTGCATGGTGTAAGTGCACCCATGTCATATCATGCCCATGGAGGTCAGAAGAGGGCTTCAGATTCCCTGGAACTAGAGTTATGGATGGTTGTTAGCTGCCATGTGGTTGCTGGGCCTCAAAGCCAGGTCCTATGCAAGAGCAGCCAGTGTTCTTAAACACTGAGCCATCTCTCTAGCTCCTGAAAGCTTATATTTTTATATTAAATTATTGGCCACACACTTTGGAAATCACTATTGACGTATCTCAAGAAATTAAAAATACAGGGCTAATGAGATACCTCAATCCATAAAATACTTTGCTGTGCAAGTATGAGAACCCAAATTTGATCCCCAGAAATGTTTTTAAAAAGCCAGTGTTGCATGCTGGGCGTGGTAGCCCACACCTTATTCCAAGCACTTGGGAGGCAGATGCAGTCAGATGAGATCAAGGCCAGCCTGGTCTCCTTATTAAGTTCCAGGCCAGCTGGGTCTATGGGGAGACTCTGCCTCAAAACCAAAACCAAACAAACAAACAAATGCAAACAAACAAAAAATCACTGTTGTGGCACATGCTTTTAATCCCAGGGCTTGGGAGGTGCACACAGGAGGGTCCTTGAGGTACACTAACCAGCCAGCATATCTTTATCATCGAGCACCAGGTCCCAGTGAGAAATCTTGTCTCAACAAAAGAAGGTAGATGGCTGTCCTGAGGAGCAACAATTGAAGTTGACTTCTGGCCTCTAAAAGTGAGCTTGCATGTGTAAGTAACCATATACACATGTGAAGCTACACAAATGCAAATACAATAAATAATGATAATAATAATCGTAGAACTACCATTTGACCCAGCTATACCACTCTTGGGCATATGTCAAACAAATTCTATATTCTACCATAGAAATACTTAAATGTCCATGCTTATTGCTGCTCTACTCACTATTAATAGCAATGAAATTAAATCAGGCTAGATGTTCAGCATCTAATGAATGAAATTCTGATACACTATAAAAAATTTTATTAAACAACAAAGAAAAATGAAATCATAAAATCTGCAGGAAATTGGACAGGTCTGGAAATTATTATATTAAGTGAGATGTCCTATATGAGAAAGACAAATATTTTTTTCTTTCTCATATTCAGATTCTACCTCTATTAGTTATTTTTCTATTGCTGTAGTAAAACACCATGACGAAGACAAATTAAAGAAGGAAGAGTTTATTTGGTTTAAGGTTCCAGAGGGATAAGAGAACATCTTGATGAGGAGGCATGGTGGAAGAGGTGACTGGAATAAAAAGCTGAGGACTCACATCTTCAAGAACTGACAGGAGGCAGAGAAAGAAACTAGAAACTGACAGGGCTCTGCAGTTTCAAACCCCGACCCCAGTGACAAGCTTCCTTCATCAAGGCCATACTTCCTAAACCTCTGCAAATAGCACCACTGTCTGGGACTAATCATTCAGATTCTTGGTTCCTATGCCTCATCCAAACCACCACACTAGCTTTGTGTTTGCATGCGTGCATGTATGTGTACCTATGCTTTTGTTAGTCTTGAAAGTAGGAAGGTAACCATCCATTTACCTGTGAATTTCATGATTTCATCTTTCTTTACTGCTTAGTAGAACTTCATCATATAAATGTACCACATTTTCATTATCCACTTATCAGCTGAGAGACACTTAGGTTGCTTCCATCTCTCAGCTATTGTGAAAAGAGCAGCAACAAACATGGATGTACAAGTGTCTCTGCAATAGGATGAGTCCTTTGGGTATTATGCCAAGGAGAGGTATAACGGTCAAATGGTAGGTTCATTTGTAGCTTTTTAAGAGTTCTCCATACTGCTTTCCATAGGGGTTGCACAAGTTTGCAATCCCACCAGCAGTGGATGAGCATTCCCATTTCCCAGTATCCTCTCCAGAATTTGGTATCATTTGTTCTCTTGATCTTACCCACTCTAACTGGGGTAAGATGAAGCCTTAAAGTGGTTTTAATTTGCATTTCCCCAATTACTAATGATGCTGAATACTTTTTAAGATGCTTCTTAACCATCTTTATTTTTTCTTTTGAGAACTCTCTGTTCAGATCTTTAGCCTATCTTTTAATTGGTTTATTTGCTTTCTTGATTCTTTGAGATTTTGAGGAAGGGGGTTAAGAGAACACATGTGGCATGAAAGCAGAAAGGGGACTATTTGTAGTAGGAGGGTACATATGGGTAGCAGGGGAGAAAAAAGGAGGGAGGAGAAACAACGGAAAGAAAATGCCATCATGAATCCTACTATGTACACTAATTAAAAAACTAAAACATTTGACTGCAAAACAATTCCCAGTATGAAATATTAGCATAAATTATAATGTTGTGATTTTAATGCATTTTCAAACTATGCTCATGGGAATTGTTTCATTCTCCTTAGTTTTGGTAGAAGATTATTGTATGCCTTCCCATACATTTCTTAATATGGGTTCTTTGTAGTACAATGATTTTGTTATTTTATTAGTATTGGCATCTTACAGAATTCGTTGTAATTTTAAGTTTTCTGTGACATAAAGTAGACCATTACACTGACTAGGCGTCTGCTTATTTAAAAATTAAACCATGATTTTAATTTCGGCCACTGTTTAGTGCTTAATAGTCTGCCCAATAGATAACTAGAAAACAATATTGCCACTATGTGGATGTCTCACTTTGGTCTATGGTCTGGAGTTTTAAAGGTATCGATCAACTTGATTCTCTTGGTTACTTAACACTATTGAAATGGTATAAATTTGACCATTTATCTCCATTCAGTAACTGTAATGTCTTCCAGAAGTTTCCTTAAGGTAGCTGTGCTCCAGTTTTCAGGATAAGAACTGGAAACTAGTCAGACATAGACTTGAGAAACAGTTGGTTACAACTATTTTATGTTTTGCTTGAAATTTATGTTTTCTGGCATGAAGGAAATTTAGAGGAATGCTTCCATTTGCTCTTTATAGGTCAGACGCTAGGATCATAATGATCACTCTTTTCACAGTGATTTCCATGAGGATGATCATTAGTAGAATATTCGTATGTTTTTTTTTTCTCATTTTTTTTCTTGTTTTAATTTTCATGGTAAATCCAAAGGTGTCCTAAGAAGGGCATCGCTGCAGAGATCATTCTTCTTTTGATACAATGCACATGAAATTAAGAATCAAAACTGGATTTTTTTTTAGAATGAAAATAATGGTTACGCTAGGGCAACTGACATAAATTGAGTCTATTCTTGATAAACTAAATCATGATCTCATCTTGTGACCACATGGAGACCTTACCCCAGGGTACTTTCTCCAAGTCTACCCTCTCCATATTTCTCCTTATACCTAACCTATGGCAATGTTCTGTGATATACACATGGCTCAAAGTATTTTCAATCATTCTTCAATCAGAATGATTTGTGTTTAGCTGCCAATATTCACTTAAAAAAATAAGTGTGCCCTATTCATTTGGCTTCACACCAATCAAAGCAATGTTTTCAGTATATATGACCATATCTTCATTTCTTAATGACTGTAACCTGTTATCAGACAGATTTTCAGAGAAAAATAGATTACACTATGTTCTTTCTCAAATGCAAATCTTGTTATATCATTATATTATATAAAATACTTCAGTGAGTCCCCATCTTCACATCTTTATGATTTGATCTTTGTCTCACATCCTGCCTTTCTCTACTTTCCTCCTCTCACCAGTCAAGAATCTCAATGTATTGCTAAGTGTGGTGGCTTAAATAAGAAATGTTCCACATAAGCTCACTTATTTGAACACTTGGTATGTTGTCTCTAGTTGGTGGTGGTACTGTTTGGGAAAGGACCTGGAACTTTTAGGAGATGTGGACTTGCTGGAAGAAGCACATCACTAGGAGTGGAGTTGAGAGTTCATAACCTCATCCCACTTCCAGTTGCCTTCTCAGTTTCTTGTCTGCCCTTGGAGATGGGTGCTTTCAGCTTTTAGCTCCAGGTACCTGCTGCCTCCATGCTTCCCCTGCCATTGTAGACTCTCCTTCTAGAACAGTAATTCCAAGTAAACACTTCCTTCTGTATGTTGCCTTGATTATGATGTTTTATCACAGCAACAGAAGGGTAGCTAATACAGAAGTTAGTAACAGAGTGGGCTGTTGCCGCGAAGAACCTGGCCATGCTGTGTTTGTTGTTGCCATTTAATTAATTTATTTTTTTTAGAAATGTAGAAGACTTCAGAAGTATGAACTAGAAAAGTGGATGAATACTGTAAACAGGGCTTAATGGGCCACTCCAGCAGAAGCCTGGAAGAAAATATGCAGCAAACAAGATTTCTTCCAAGGGGAAATAAGGATTTAAACAGTAACTAGGATATTTTAGCAAGAATCTGGCTGCTGGCTGAGGGAAGGCTAAGAACTTGCCTAAGGTTGAACTAAAAAGTAATGGACTATTTTATTTGGCAGAGGAAACTTCAAGACAGTCTAACATTGAATCTCTAGCTTTGTTATTACTGATAAACTTTATGCAGATGCACAATGAAAAAGAGCAAGTGGAGCAAAAAGAAAAAAAACAAAATGTACTGTTTGTAGAGAGAAAGAGTACTAGGAAGCTTATCTTTGCAGACAACTTGTGCCCTGAAAGACAGACAGTAATTTATCGGAAGATTAGCTCCACTAAGGAGAGGCCTGAAGATCTGCTCTGGAAGAGTAGACAGCATGTCCTCAGGGAAAGATACCAAGCAGCTAAGCATGTAAGTTACAAAAATAGTAAGCCTACGGGATTTTCTGCTCCTAAAAGAACCACAGCATACAAAAGCAACTGTAAATCTGATCCAAGGGGGCCAAAGTCCATTCAAAGCTGTGAGCTGAACTTGGCAGTGTCCTCTATGAGGTACTGCTTTAGAGTCATGAAACAGTGAGGGAGGTGTTGAATCTTCCTCCATGGTTTCAAAGAGCCATTGAGGCCAGGTACTGTGGAGCACGGGAGACCTTAAAAAAAAAAAACAAAAAAACTCCCTGATAGTCCAACTGGCCCTAATACACCACTGTGTGAAGCTGTGAAGGTGAAGCCTAGGTTGTAGTAGAAACACCAAATGTTGGAGATGCCAGAGCTCTGAGACATCTGTCAAGGTAACCTGCATGCAGAGAATGGAACCTGCCCAAGAGCAATATGCATGTTTCAGGCAATGCTAGAGGGGAAAACCCATCTAAGCCGTTGATAAATCAAGTCTCAGACATTAGACTTGGAGCTATAAGGATTTGGTATTTGCCCTGCTTTTTTCAGGTCTTGTTTTGGTCTAGTATTTCTCCACTAGGCCCATATAGTTTCCCTTAGGAATGGGAATGCATATTTGATTACATTTTATGTTGGAAGTATATAATTTTTCTCTTTAATTTTACAGGGGGTTAAAGTTAAGAGATTTCCTTAAGTCTCAGAAGAGATTTGAGACTTTGGATTTTGAACAGTGTTGCGACTGTTAAGGACTAAGGGGACTTTAAAAGTTGGGTTAAATATATTTTGCATTATGGTATTGATATGAGCCTGTTGGAGCCAGGAACTCGAATGTGATAGCTTGAAGAAGAAATGTCCCACATAGCCTCAAATACTTGGGAAGGTCACAGAACCTTTAGGTGGTAGGGCCTTGTTGGTTCAAGGACATGACTGGGCATGGGATTTGAGAGTTCTTAGCCTTATACCAGTTTCAGTTGCTTTATCTGATTCTTGTTTGTCCTTTGAAATGTGAGCTTTCAACTTTCTGCTCCAGTCACCTGCTGCAGTCATGAGTGCCTGCCGTTACGTACTCTCCTTCAGAAACAGTAAGGGCAAATAAACTCTTTCTTCTACAAGTTGCCTTAGTCATGGAGTTCTATCACAGCAATAGAAAAGTTGCTAATACACTAAGTTAGCACACAAAAAATATGCAAATATATTTATTGTCAAGCTATGAAATGTGACAATACATTGAAATTGCCTCATCATCTAGTATTATATATAATTGATATTTGATAATTGTTGAATAAAGGAATGACTGAAAAAAATCCCAGATAATATGAATGAATATGAATGAATATGTTACATATACCATCCTTATCCAATTAGATGATTTTTTTATCTTTATATATATATCAAATGACATAAAAATTGCTTCATGATATAGCACTGTTTTATAGGCCACTAACATGTTTATGGGAGATTAGGATATTAAAACTAGAAATCCATTTTCTAAGCCTTTTAATAACTAAATTTTATTCTTTAAAATATATATGAAGTGTCCTGGCATAGTAAGTTATATATGTTATAAGATTTTCCCTGTGGTAATTGTAGGGTAAAAATGTCACTTTGAACATATGCATTCCATCCACATAACCACATGAAATACATATGTTTTCATATAAGTTCTAGTTTGTAATAAAAACATTGATGAACATGCATTTATAAATGTCAATAAAGTTAATACATTGTTAAATAGAAACTTAGAATCACTGTCATTAATTATACAATGACGCTTTACATTATAGTACATAAATATTTTTATAGATATTTTATTCATTTAATCTTTAGATTTGTGTGGCAGGGAATCTGAAGTGAGCAAAGCAAAGTAGTGATTGTTAACCATACTTTACATGTGAAGAAAACATTTAGTGTTAGTTCAACTTTATGTGAGGCTTTGGAGTGGATATTAATAATGTTGCAAGGTGCTCCAAAAATTGTTATCTAAGCAGTCTTAGTAATTAACATTAATTTTTTTAATGTACCAATCAGTAAAACCAGGAGATTAGGTTCAAAGGAGACTGTAGTTGAAGCTGAGGAAGATAAAGATTAGCCATACACTTCTGGCCACTTTCTATTAACACTTAATAGGCAGAATGGGAAACTAATGATCTTTATTGTTGTTTCCTTAAGGACTTCTCATAAGCACCAGTTTATAGAATTAGTCTGATATATTCTTAGGAGATAGGTTTGGGAAAAAATCATTGTGTTACTCTTCCCTCATAAATACAAAAAATAAGTGGAACAAGTGGATAGATGAATAATGAATCAATAAATGATATCTTCTAATCTTTATTTAAGTTAATGAAAACTAAGCAGAGCTCCTAACCAGATATGGTTGCTTGAGAGATCACCAGTATTTGAATTACTGAATTATCATAAAACTATACATGAAGTATTTTTCACACTTTAAGGTATTATGCAACATGCCACAGATCCCAAGATAAGATGAGGAACTTTGACAGTGACATATTTTTAAAGGAAGAAATGGTGTATTTGTGAGCTATGAGTCTTATTCACAGTAGACCTAATAATACATTTATCCCTCTTAGTGAAAGAGTCTCATAAATTACTCATGGAAATGTGGAAGCAATGCTCTCAAGTTCAGATATGGAGATATATGTGTATCTTTAGTTTTCCCACTGGTCATGCTGAAACCCTGTTGCATGTGTGCATATTTAGGTGTACAATTTCTCCAAACTTTGACTTTGATGAAAACTTACAGAATACTCTACAGAGCCCCACCCCTTTCGGATTCACAAATACTAGTGCATACTTATTGGCCTTTCTGACAACAATTTGTTCCTGCTATAAAATTAATTAGAACTAATATATTAAAGTTTTTGCAATATTTTAGTGGTCTCATGACGGTTTGAAATTATTTTTTAGTGTAACTATATGCAATGGCTAATGTGAATTGTTAATTTGGCAGAATCTAGAGTCACCTGGAAGATAGACCTCCTGGCACACCTGTGTGAGATTATCTACATTAAGATTTGCCTATGAGGGGGCTGGAGAGACAGCTCAGTGGTTAAGAGCATTGGTTGCTCTTGCAGAAGACCTGAGTTCAATTTCAAGCACCCACATGGCAGCTAAAAACTGTTCATAACTCCAGTTCCAGGACATCCCTTTCCCTCTTCTGACCTCCACAGGTATTGCAAAACACAGGTATACACTTACATCTATACAGGCAATGCATTCATAACATAAAATAAAAATAAAATATTTTTTAAAAAGGTTAGCTTCTGGTTATTTCTTTTCCTTTACCTCACTGTTTCCTTACCCTTGTCCTGGTTCCTGCAGTTATGTCGGATTCACAAATACTAGTGCATACTTATTGGCCTTTCTGACAACAATTTGTTCCTGCTATAAAATTAATTAGA